TTTTTTCATCAATATGAGATCATGCATAGTCTCTTTTTCTGTTATACAGAGATGTAGCACCAGTAAGCGTGAAAGATGTAGGAATGTTAAAGAGGGATGAGCCGCACCTCGAATTTCTTACTATTTTCATAAAGGCCTAAACTTAATATTGATCATTTAGCAAATGAAATAGTCTATGTCTAGTCTTGTCATTCATGACACTAAAGTCCAAATATTAAAGTGATAAGCTTAACCCACTTATTTGCATGAAAGATTTATTTCGGGTTAATTTCACAGACGATCACTTAAGTTGCTTGAAAATCACAAAATGGTCACTGAAGTTTAAAACTTGCAGAAACGGTCACTGAAATTTAAATTTCTTTCACAAACGATCACTGAATTTTCAGATTGTTTGGTTAAGTTTTGCGGCGATTTTCCGGCAACTTCCGACCACGATGACCGTCGGATTTGGATACCTTTGGAAAGCACACAATGTCCTCTTCAATTACCACCAAAAATCTCCCCATAACTCTAAGGGATTCGGCCGAAATATACCCACGAAGTCGGGTACCGAAAAATCTAAAAATCTGCCCAAATTTTCAGATTTTTTGGGTTGCAGCAATTTTCTGGCAACTTTCGACCACCAATACCGTCGGTTTCGAATACCGTTGGAAAGCCCACAATATCATTTTCAATTACCATGAAAAATCTCCCCATAAATCTAACGGATTCGGTAGGAATAAACCCATGAAGTCAGATACCCAAACTGGTAATTGAAGAAGACATTGTGGGCTTTCCAACGGTATCCGAAAACGACGGTATTGGTGGTCGGAAGTTGCCGTAAAATTGCCGCAAACTCGCCTAAAAAATTTGGGCAGATTTTCAGATTTTTTGGTAGCCGACTTCGTGGGTATATTTCGGTCGAATCCCTTGGATTTATGGCGAGATTTTTGGTGGTAATTGAAGAGGACATTGTGGGCTTTCCAACGGTATCCAAATTCGGCGGTCTTGGTGGTCGGAAGTTGCCAGAAAATCGCCGCAAAAATTGCACAAAAAATCTGAAAATTTAGTAACCGTTTGTGAAAGAAATTTAAACTTCAGTAACCGTTTCTGCAAGTTTCAAACTTTAGTGAAAGTTTTGTGATTTTCAAGTAACTTTAGTGACCGATTGTGAAATAACCCGATTTATTTCTTTTGTGTATATATATATTTTTAATTTATTGTAAATTTAATTTGGGTTGAATATTTAAGTATCATAAAAATTGATGAAATATATCAAATATTATACTCATTTTGTAGCTCATGTTAAATAACATAAATTGAGTTCAAGAAAAAGTAATTTTTAACTTGTTACGTCCAAATTATTCTAATATAAAGAAAATGGATATCTTTTGTTATTTTGTTAATATATATAATATATAAAAATAAAATTTTAGAAAAATGTGTACAATCACCCATTTATAGAAAATGTTTCAATTTGAATTTCATTAATTAATTAATTAAGATGTTGAATTTTACATTTAGGTCATAGACGTTTGATTGATTGGAGGAGGCAATAAATTGATTTATTTAATCCTTGAATTCTTTACAATTATGACTTGAGACATTTTGACGTTTTGTTTGAATGGTTGATGGATTATTACGTTTATGTAACAACTAGGATAGAATTTTCACTTTGAAAATTTATACCACTTCATTCTTTGCAATTTCACTTCACACGTACAATTACACAACTTCATTATTTGCATTCTCGGATTTCTTTTAGTATCAATTAAGATCAGAATTATTTATGCAAATGGTAAATTCTTATTTCTTGATATTTATATAAATTTTGGCATGAAATACTATAAGGCATTTGGATCGATTTCTATGTTAAATACTTCTGGATATACCGCTTGTCAAATATGTAAATTCTACGGGATATAGAAATTCTTAAGAAATTCCTTTAGTTATTGGATATCGCGATCAGTCTGCTCTAAATCTAAGATTTTCGATATGTTATGTTATTTTATATTTATATCATGTTAAATAAGAATATGCACATATTTTTACTTATTGTTTTTTAAAATACTCACTCCTACAGTAACTTTTCAAATTAGAACGAATCGCGTGGATGCGTGGAAGATTGACTGAGTGATGTTTATGAGGTCACCAAAACAAATGTTCAGATTTTGGCAAATTTTAATTTAAGAACCGTTTGTATTTAATTGCAAGTTATTTTAGAAATTTTGGCAATTAAGCCTTTTCGACATGTTAACTTTACAGTTTTAAATCCGCAGTATATTTTCTTTTTGTTTTAATTATATATGAAAAATTTTCATTTCAAATTGATGAATTAACATTATCAATCAAACCCCAAGATTTACGAAATATTGTTAAATTTCCGCTTTAGATTAAGGGCCTGTTTGGTATGGATTTTGGTTTTCTACAATAAATCAATTCTCATTTTCAACCACACATTCTTCAATAAAGTAATATTTTCCATCACATCAATAATTTTTTCTTCTTTTTCAACCACACATTTCCCATCATATCACTATTCAAAAAATCAATTCTTCCCCCAAAAATCCCTACCAAACAGGCTCTAGATAATAAAGTTTTTTGTGATACTTCAAGTCTATTTTTCAAAAAAAAAAAAATAGAATAAAATAAAATAAAATAAAATAAAATAATAATAATAATAATAATAATAATAATAATAATAAGAAATAGATTTTGGGGCGTTACAACTCGCTCTACAAATGAGCCAACCAGCAAAAACCTCGTGCTTGTCGGCTCACATGAATTGGCTTGCGAATCAGGCGAGCTTGTCGACTCATAAATTGGTGAGGAAAATACAATTTTTTGACAAGTCGCTTGACTTGTCCCTACCAAGGTGCAAGTTACTGGTGCGAACCAACTGACATGGTGGATTGAGCTAGGGGTGTCCAAAAGTCTCGAATTGAACCGAACCGAATCAAACGGTTCTTCACAAATTAAATACCCGAACGGGTATCCGAATCGAGAATCGATGGGTTTGGGTCTGGTCTCGGGGCTAGAACAAGAACCGAAGATCCGAAACTAAATAATTTTTTTATTTTTTATATTGAATTAATTAAATTATTTTATTTTTTTTAAACAAATTAACAAATTAATTAAATAAATCAAATTATTTCATAATTTTAATTTTAAATGCCAAATCATTTTTAAAACCCATTAACTCATTTTAATTTGAAGCAAATGAATATACTTTATGTAGTGTTGTTGTAATATTAATATCTACTTTTTGGTATTTGTATGCATTAAATTAATCTTATTGGACGGCTAGTTATTTATATGTTTTTGAATTAGGCTACGTTAATTTGTAAAAGTTACGAATGAAATGCCATTGGTTGTATTTATGTAGTATTGCTGTAAATATTAAAAAATTTAATTATGGTACGGAACCGAACCGACCCGAACCGAACCCGAACGGTTCCATAATTATATTTGGACCGACGGGTCCATTTATTAAATACCCGATAGTTTTGGGTCGATTTGGGTCTCTTCAGAATCGAACCGAATCGACCCACGGATAGCCCTAGATTGAGTCGAGCTCGATGATTGGAGAGCAACGGCTTGTCTTGACTTAATCTATTTAACATCCCTACAAAGACTTAACTCGAAACATATGTTTCTTAAAAGAATTAGTCTAAATATACAGAATGGGGATACCGAATGGTGTCTCCCCTCTCACAATGCGCTTGGGCCCCATGTGTATTTAAAAATCTCGGCTTGTGGTCCCCACCTCGTAATGTGAGTGGAGTGTAAAAGATTTGGTATAAAAATTCGGTACATGTAGCATAACCTTTCTTAAAAGTGTGAAAATATTTTTTACTAGATGATTGCCAGAAGATACAATTTAACAATATACTTTTTCATAATTTAAATTTTTAAATGAAGCAGTTTAAAATAACATCGTGGTAGACAAATATTCTTTATTCTAGTCTAAACAGTGTTGTGCCGACTAGGCGTGAGGTGTAGACGAAACTTCACGGCTTGATAGTAAGCAAGAAATTAAACAATCACTGTCAAGTTGAATGCTTAATGCATGACTAGGCACACTTTATTAATTTTTTTTATTTTTTTATTTTTCCTTTTTTTAAAAGCTTTTTAAACTTTAGTTTCAAATTTTTCCTTTGAAAATCATATAATTGACTAAGGGTTCGTTTGACATGGATTTTGTTTTTACTTTTACTTTCTATAAAGGAATTTCTGAAGGAATATATCTAAATTTTTATTTGGAAACTAATTTTTAAAAGAGTTTTCTATTTCAGAAGTATTTTTAGATAAAGTTACATTGAGCCGGATTCCTTTAAAAGTTTTTCTAAGTAAAAGAAGTACTTTCATAAAATAAGTCAAAGGGATCCAAAAAATTTGGTATGTATTACTTTTATTATTTTTAGAATAATTAAAAATTTGAAATAATATTAAAAATAAAAAAACTTTTTTTTACACTTAGACTCGTCTAAACTCGTAAAGCTTGAAACTTGACATTCGTATTTTATCACGCTTTACGCTTTTTAAAACACTGGGTTAGATTCAATGACACTCATTTATTGCACTTGTACAAGCGTTTACTCTTTTATGTAAAAGATAAATATGACACGTGAGAGGACGTATTTGGCATTCTTCCGCCCCATGTCTACATTTTTTAGCTCACTAAATCTCGGTCATTGATTTAATAACTTATGAAGCAGTGCAAAATATAAAAGAAGATATGAACCATAAATTCTATGTATGTTCATTTAAATATAAATCAAATCCTTTCAAGGTTCATAAGATTTATAAATGTAGATAAATTTGCTAGCCAAGAAATGCGCTTGAAACACATTCACTTGTGTGTAACTATATAATTCTAATATACTATATATGCTAAACTATAATAGCATGTTTTATTGGATTTACTACATACAATGGTGGGGGTGTCGACAAAAATTTGCTTCCTACATTATCTTGATTGGCAGCAATCCGTTCTTTCGTCTTTCATTCTTTACAAGTCGAGGAGCATTGGAACTCACTTCGGCGCTGAACTATCATTGGATAACGCTTTTGAGTCCGTGTTGTTGGAAAGAAAACTAGTTTGTCTTGTTCTGCCTGTACCCAACTGGAAATCAAATTTACCAAAAAATGGTTAAGCATTCAAAACTTTCATGATTTTCTTGAGTAAAGTTGAGTCAGGAGTGTCATATACCTGAATTGAGTGACCAAGTGGTGAAGGAAAACTGAGAGCTCGACCCGAGCAAGCTCGGCCCCAGGACAACGCCTTGGCCCTCCACCAAATGGTGTGAATACATTTGCCGTGCTACTTCCTGAATTTGCCTGTTAATTGCTCACATAATTACTTTTTCGAATATTTGGAACGTGATTAATCCCCATGTGGAAAATGTATCAAAAGACACAAAAATAAAAGGATGAAATTTCAGAATTAAACATAGCTAGATAGGTACCTGCCACCTCCATGGATTAAAAGTGCGAGCATCTTTAAAGTGGTCGTGATCCATGTGCACAGCTCGAAGAGAAACAAAAACTTTCCATCCTTTTGGAATTGTATAACCTGAATAAAACAAGAACAGCTTTAAGCGAAATAGAATGTATTACATGTAAAGCATATTGAAGTGCTATTTCTGCATCTCCAGTTACCAAATCTACCCACATTAAGAATACTCTTTAATGTCTTGTCAAACTAGAAAGCAAAAAATGACATGGATGGAGGGAGGGTAATCTTGTACACAGTCTTCAATTTTCACCTTTGATACTGACATCCCTCATTGCTCTTCGAAATACTCCACTAATTATGTTAGCTACACGCAGAGTTTCATTAACTACCTGAAAATACATTAGTAACACGGAGTTTCGATCAATAGAACACCATAAAGGATCAACAACAACTCGTTCTTTGACTCATAATGTATATTTACTTACACATTGGGTAAAATTCATAGATTTGTAATCGTCCCATTGAAGAGTCTCCACTTCACCTTTCTTCGCAAGGATCTCATCATGCTCATCCTGTCCAGAGACAAGGTAAAGACCGTAAGAATTAGACTATACTCCAATATCACAACCAACTGGGACAATGATTTTGGAACAAACAAAAAATATTAAAGAAAATTTTCATATATTCTCATGCTATTTCCATTCAACACTACTTTTAGTCTTTCTCATAGCATAAAAACGATCTAGTTCTTGACTCTACTTGCAACGTGCACATTTTAGCCAAAGCATTAAGGTCTTATCTTGAAGTAATGTTACCAATACCGTGGAGTCCAGGGTAAATTTAGGACGACATCAAGTAGCGTCTCTCATTTTTCTACGCATACTATAATTCTCTATTTCATATAATTTACTTTGTTTTTAATCTCATTAAGATAGTCAAACAATAATATACCAATAAAAGATACACGTAGAAATCGAGTACAACAAAATTCTTTTTCTCATTTTTTACTAAATTACCGTGACAAGTGAACTTGCTGCCATTAGAAAACAAACTACAATGATAATAATGCATTTGACAATCAAATCTAGCTCGAAGGACAAAGCACAAATCAAGAATGCAATCTTGTTTCTTAATGAATATTCTCCATCATAAGACGTCGAGAACCCGGGGGATCTAATTATTTTCCTCGAAAAATTTGAATAATTTCGAAAACCATAAAGAAAAAAATTATTCTATTTGTTATTCTCAAGTGGAATTTATTAAAAATAAGAAATAGATTACATTTATGCCTAGACCTAGGACATAGACTGAATGGTCCAGATTGCAGTATGCACATGCGCCTAGTAGAAAATAACTCAGCACTGTCCAAAAAATAGATACAAATATACACACATATCAGCCTTTTTATGTTTGAACAGTAGTTAATCATATAGAATGGGGTAGGGCCTGTGCTGACACGATTAGAACACCGCTTTCCACCGTCAGATTTTAAAGCCTTGAAATTCGTACATCACTCTATCCTAGATATTTCTTCGACCCAAAGGTTTCCACACATGAATTGGTCTAAATGTACACAATCAATTACATAATGAATTGAAAAATATTATTCAAGATATTTCTTCGAACCAAAGGTTTCAACACATGAATTGGTCTAAATGTACACAATCAATTACATAATGAATTGAAAAATATTATTCATCCTCAGTGGGGATGCATCCCCAATCTATGTGGATATAAATAATTGGTCAAATGATAGGTGAAATTAAATAACTTATTTAATTTCACCTATCATTTAATGCTACAATAACGCCACATAGACTGGGGATGCATCCCTATTGGGGATGAATAGCATTTCTCTAATGAATTATACTCCTCTCACATGGAGGGAGGCCCACACACAATAAAATATTCGTGGGCCTCCTCCATGTGAGTGGGGTGTAATCCATTAGGCAATGGATTGGATGTACATCTAACACACTCCTTCAACACATTATTACTCTTATAAGCACGTTTGGCAAAGCCTTTTTTATATTATGAAACTTTTTTTTCTCGTACCCATCTTTAATCATATATAATATATTATCGCAATAAAATATTTTTTTCGTAAATTCAAATTTTTTTCGTACTTTTTAACCCCACATTCTCTAAAAAATTATTATTGAAAAACTCATTTTTCTCGAAAAAGAACTGTCAAACAGGTTATGAGAGGTTATGAGATGTATCAATAGTAAGAAGGAAAAAATACTTAGAAATTGAAATCATATGAAATATGTAAATAAAAATACGGCTTTAACTAACTTGAAAGTAATTATAAATATGTCATACATTTAAAATGCGATGGAACTTCAATTTAATTTTATTTTTACCGTCATCTCCCAAATTGTCAAAAATTGCATAATTGACGGCCATATCACGATTAACCTTCCATGTAATTGTTGCGTGACATGTCAATTTATCATTATGCCATGTCATAAAAGTGTTACACACTTTTAATCATTTTAACAATACAATAACATTTCTATAATTCTCATTTTATTTTATCATTTGGTTTCTAGCATGTTTGAGCCACATTTTCTTTGCGTTTCTTTTCTTTCTTTCTTTCTTTTTTTTTTTTTCTGTCAAAAATGCATTTGAAAATAGTGATTTTGATGAAAAATGTGTGATCAAAAGATAAAGAAAAGTTTTAGATTTACGTGTGATAATTTTATTGAAAAATATGTTATTAAAAATAAGATGGGAAAATATATTTTGAAAACAATGGGGGCAAACCGCCATAGTATCGTGCAATGATAACATGAACGAGAAGATGTACGATTGTCAACTCAAAGCATATTTGGAAAGTATTTATAAATATTTTTATTTATAAAGGGATAAAAATGAGTTTTGCACGATAAAAAATATATTTGAGCTCCATTTTTTGTAGAATGCATTTCAAAATAATAGATTGATGGAGAATATGTGGTAAAAAATGAAGAAATATTTTTTAAATTCTGTGTAATATTATTTTATTAAATAACGTGTGATTGAAAAGAAGAGAAAAAAATATATTTAAAAAAAAAAGATCAAGCAAGGTAGATTTTATGAAATGTATCAATAAAAACAATTTGAACAGTAGATGAAATTTACTCTATTAAGCCCTTGTTTGAAATTATTATTTCAAAATTCTTTAATTATCATACTCATTTTCAATCATATATTTATACAATAAGATATTTTGTATTTAAATTTAAAATTCTCTTTACTTTTTAATCACACATTTCAAAAAAAAAATACTGTTTAAAATTTTATTTTCTTAAAACAGCCAGCTAAATTAGCTCAGAGCTAAAGAAAAATCAAGGATAAAAAAATAACAAATGTGGCAGGGTTAGGATATAGGCGTGCAGATTTGTAGGGGCATCATTTTGTTCACTTAGGTATCGAATGTCGTCTGTCCGCTCAATACCTTATCTCTACTTTGACTTTAGGGACCGTACTTTTGACCATGCCCAATATTGGGACTTGGATGCCATTTCGTCATTTTAACGTGGCCATTTTAGACACGATACCACGTGTGAACATTGGTCTTCCAGGGCATGATTTGGTATGGTGATTTCCAAATTGACAATACACCCCCATTATACAACATGTACGTGATGTTTATTTTAAAGCACATATTCTATAATTTAAAGAATATTTATAAATTTAAATATAAAATTTTTAATTTATTGTTTTCCATGTTTCTTTATTTTCACTAAATTTCTTTTACACAACGTTTGAATCTATTTTTGAAGACAATAGAAATTTTGGAATAGTGATTGATGTGAGAATGTATGGTGGAAAAGTGATGAAAATTTTTTGATTTGTGTGTAATATTATTTTATTTGGAAAATGTGTGGTTGAAATGAAAAATGAAAATCAGCCCCTGTTTGGCCCCCATTATTTTGTATTTTTGGGGGTTGAAAAATTATTTTGTATTTTTGGGGGTTGAATATTTTTAGAACAGTGATTGATGGGAGAATGTGTGGTTGAAATTTTTTTTGATTTATGTGTAATATTATTTTATTTGATGAATATATGATTGAAATGAAAAGAGAAAAAAATTTAATGTAATGTAATTTAATGGGGGTCAAACAAGGGCTAAGAATGAAAATGAAAATGAAAATGAAAAATTAATAGGTGTCAAACAGGGGCTAAGCCTATGTTAATTTTAAGGACTCTTTAAAATAGATTCTCGTAGCCTATGCTGATTACTCTTTAATTCACTAAAATAGATGGTCTTAGCCATGTTGATTACATACTTTAAAATATATTTTTATTTAAATAAAATAACTTTATACATGAACCAATAATTTTTTTTTCTTTTTACTGTACATTCTTCAAAAATATCACTTTTCATAAAATATATAATTAAAAAAAAAAAAAAAAAGTCTACATCAATGTTAGGAATTTTATTCATGGTTGAGTTCCACTATCACACGTCTGTTACTTTATAATATCAAGATTAAGATTTTTAGTAGAGGGTGTGTAACCTTGCTTGACAGCACGTGCACCACTAATTACTAAGTAGAATGATACATAGAGTTGCTTATTTTTTAAATAAATTTTTATTACAAAGTATTTGTAGATTGTGAATTAATGACAGCATCACCTAATTATACCCTCTAGAATTTGTTTGGATGAGAATTTAGATAAGGAGATATGCATGCCCATTTAATGCTGGAGGCCACCATGCTGGATGGTGGGGGGTTTTTTGGGTCCACTAATTCATTTATCATAATAAAAAAGAAAAAAACAGCACATCCTTGTATTTCTATTTGAGAGAAAAAGATAAGCAAACAAATTTCACTTTGAAAAATGGTAGAAGTGAAATTTTCTAGTAAACAAACAACTAACCTTGAGTTGAGCCAAGGCACGGGGTGTATCGGTGAGGAATTTAACGGCGAGTGTCATTATTGTAGAAGTTGTCTCATAACCCGCCACCAACAAAGCCACCATAAAATCAACAATTTCCTCGTCGGACAACCCTCCTCCACCGTCGCCTTCTTCATCGAGCAACGCCGCCAGCATGTCATTTTTTCTTTCCCCTTTCTCACTCTCCCTCCTCCTCGCCCTCACCACCAATCCCAAAGCCTCAGCCACCTTTCCTCTAGCCTTCAAATACCACAAAAAGTCAAATATATTTTGTAAAAGAAAAAAAGGGAAGAAAGGAGGGTGAAAAATATTTACTTGGATGGCTCTGCGATATGTGGTTGAAAATATTGGTAAAGGAATAGTGAAGAATCCTTCAATGACTAGCATGTATTCTTTCATCAGATTCTCAGTCCATTCACAGGGATCAAAGCTCATCAGTTGCTTCACTGTCAGATGAAAAGTGATCTGTCCATACATATATAAAATCAACCATTTTTGAGTAAAAAGAATTAGAAGCTTCTAAATAAAACCTGACAATGATGAGAAAACAAAACATAGTGCGCTGAAAGGCAAAGAGAATAATCCATGATTATACTCAAACATGTGCGGCTTCTAAATAAAAAACCACCCATGTGGGTGCTGTTTGCCCGCACATGCTGGCTGGCTGCATATATCATACATTTGAAATTGCTTGTTAACAAGTACTGATGTCTAGAATTGTTCAAAATTGAAAAGATCTCGACTCTATAATTTGAACCGGCAAAGTGTGTTATCCCACTCACTGTGGAAATCTGACTCATCAAGTTTAAATTTTATTCTCCAAACATGAATCATAACCCACGCACTTCTGTCCATGGAACTTGATGATTACATGCTAAAGTGCGCTTGCATTATTATATTCCAGTTCTAAAATGCGCCGGATGATATAAGTTTACCTTCTTCGCCTCCTCCATGAGGAGGACCCGACCAGTCCAAGCTTCCATGTTCAACCGGACCAGCCGGTCTATATCCACCAACAAATGGTCTCTAATAATTGCAGAATTCGCAAAGCTCACAGTGAGTGAATGCATTCGTTTATGCAAACTCCCTCTCGTGAGAAGCAAAGAATGCCTTCCTAATAAGTTGGATATTGAACCAGGGTAACTCGACTCAAAAAGACGGCCCTCGTTCTGCAAAATGAACCGGTTGATATCCGGGTCTGCGGAGAAAACAGTCGGTTCTCCGAAGACATGGGTTGTGAAAACGGTGCCATATTTGGAGACCCTATCGTCAATGAAGGGCTCTGGGTTTTCTGTCTTGTAGGCGGAGATGAGTTGGAGGGTCTCGCCGAGAAAAGGGAGGCCAAGGTTTCCCGGTGGCAGATGGAGTTTCCGGCGGTTAGTGGTGCGGAAGAGATGGAGAATTAACACAAGAAAAGAAAAAAATAAGAGTAAAAAGAGAAAGATGTCTGTGGAGTTCATGATTTTACACAGTATACTTTGTGTTTTTGCGTGTGAAAAATGGATGTAAAGTTGAGTATTTGTGGGGAAGAAGAAGAGGGTGGTGCATTAATAGAGCACACGGTTGGGTATGAAAGGAAAATGTGGCTACTAAAGTGAATCGGATTATGACAAGAAGGAAATTAATGTCGGATTTTTCTGCATCGATCCGACACTTTTTACTTTTTACTGTATCGCTTGTTTACAAGGCACACGAACGGCAATTTGTACATTAGTTCGGTGTACATCAATAAAAAAACAAATTAGATAATTACTGCTTGCTTGGATTTTATTATGAGTAAATAATAAAAAGTTAGCTCCCGTTTGACACTCATTTTTTATCTCATTCTCATTCTCATTTTTTTACACTACTCATTTCTAATCATACATTCTCCAAATAAAATAATATTACACATAAACCTAAAAATTCTTCTTACTTTTTAACTACACATTTTTTTACATCAATCACTATTCAAAAACTCATTCTTCAATAGAATGGGTGCCAAACACCTCTTTAATAATTTCTCCTTGATTAAGGTTGTCCGTGAGTAGGTTCGGTTCGATTCTGAAGAGACTCGAACAGATCCAAAATTTTGGGGTATTTAATAAATGGACTTGTCGGATCCAAATATAATTATGGAACCGTTCGGGTTCGGTTCAGGTCGGTTCGGTTCGGTTCATTACCATAATTAATTTTTTTAATATTTACAGCAATACTACATAAATACAACTAATGACATTTCATTCGTAACTTTTACAAATTAACGTAGCCTAATTCAAAAATATATAAATAACTAGCCGTCCAATAAGATTTATTCAATGCATACAAATACCAAAAAGTAGATATTAATATTATAACAACATTACATAAAGTATATTCATTTGTTTCAAATTAAAATGGGCTAATGAGTTTTAAAAATGATTTGGGCTTTAAAATTAAAATTATGAAATAATCTGATTTATTTAATTAATTTTGCTAATTTGTTTAGAAAAAAATAAAATAATTTAATTAATTCAATATAAAAAATAAAAAAATTATTTAGTTTCGGTTCTTGGTCTAAACTCGAGACCCGACCCAAACCCATCGGTTCTCGATTCGGATACCCGTTCGGGTATTTAATTTGTGAAGAACAGCTCGATTCGATTCGGTTCGGAACTTTTGGACACCCCTACTCCTGATCTTCATTTAAGGATTAAATTACTTATACACACAAAGTGTATATTTTGATTGGCACTCATCTATATGTCAAAAATTTGACAATTGATTAAAAAAGATGTGAAAATTAATGTACCAAAACATGTCCACTCACATGAGTGAATTCAATGTGTCAACATTTACGTACACGTAGCATGATTCATTTAGGATTAAATGAGTTATAGATTTCAACTCCCTTTTTCTTAAATTATTCAAAATAAATTTGTATTGAATGGTTATTGACATATAAAAATTACGTTAAATAAATGTTGAAATATTGGTTTCCATCCATGTGAGTGGCAGATTTTGGTATATCTAGATTTTTGATACATAGACGGGTGTCAATCAGACAAATAGTTCAATCTGAAAAAGTTTTTGTCGAAAGCATGCATCTTTAAGAAATAATATTGTGAAAAACGAGGGAATTGGCTTGCCATCCGAATTCCAGTATTCGGATTGACTAAATTACAAAATGTTAAGGGCATGTTCTCTTTGTCGTTTTCGGACCGTTTTCTGTTTTCGACTTTCCAAAATGCGTTCTTTTTCCTATTTTCGAAAACGCGTTTTTGAAAATAAGTTAAAAATTTACAAAGAAAACTCAAAGTTTTGGATGTCCTTTTGGTTGTTTTCAATTATAATCAAGCTAAAATNAAATGATGTTTTTTACGTTTTGGATTTTTCCTGTACAAAACTCGAAAAATCTTGAAAACGCGCAAAACACAAGGTACTGTTCCAAAATAACCGTTTCTTCCCACAACCCAAATCTAGTCTCTTCTTCCGTCTTCTCTCTTCTCCAGAAGAGAATAGCCAGCGATCTCTTCTCTTCTCTGCAATCGGACGCTGCTGTTGGGCCGGTGCCGGCGCCAGAGTGGGGATTGGGGAGGCGACGCTTATTGCGGCCCATGGGAGGCGACGTTGCTCTGAACGTTCGTCTCTGCCGCCTCTCTCTTCGACGCCTGCAACATTCGTCTCTGCCTCCTCTCTTTTTTCTGTAGTATTTTTTGTTTGGACTTTTTTTGGTTGTACTGATTTTGGTGGTGGTGGTAGATGGTTGATGATGGTGTTGATTGAGGTCGATTTTGGAAGTGGTTGAAGGTGGTGGTGGTGTTGATTTTGGCAGTGCAAA